AGACCCCACCAGGGAGGTGGGCGAGCCCTCGGGCCGGGCACTGCCCGGTGCCCACGGTGCGACGGGCATCTCCCTGTGAGCGGGTGGGCTTGGGGCTGTCGGCCGTCTGGCCGGTCTACCCAACACTCTTGCTCCCGAACGCGGGTCTGGGGTAACTGGCCTTTCCGCACCGCACAAGTGGAAATCCCTGGGAAAGCTTTAAACCCTGACCACAGTCGGGCAGTTCTCTGTACTGTGACCCTGACTGCCTCTTGGCTTTTGGTCCAGATACTGTCTAGAGTCTTGATAACTTTTGTTGTCAATGACATGTCCTTTTTAAAAAGTTCTTGGGCCAGATGTCCTGAACTTGAATGAAGTCTATCTCATTTTCACTTAGTACCAATCCCATGGACCAGGGCCATAGTTCCAATATTACTGGCTTCTATCCTTGAAGAGAAGTTTTACTTTGCTTTTGCTTTGGTGTGTATCTTCCTCACTCAACCTGTGTGTGTGTGTGTGTGTGTGTGTGTGTGTGTGTGTGTGTAGGGTACCATTCTTTCGTGCCTTCTACCATGGAAAGGTACTATGGGTGTCTTCAAATCACCACTATGCAATATGCTGACCGAAGTCCCACTCAAGGGCTTTGTCTGGAACAGTTGGCTCAGCCACTATTTCCTCAACTGTGGAATGAGGAGTCTGAATTACAAACTCTTCAAGGCTCTTCCAGCTCTAAATTCTTACGATTCTATGGCCTCTATAAAACAGCAGATGGCTTCTGCTAGATGCCAATAAATTGCTTTAACGTGACAGTTACTGGTATGGAAATTATATATGGAGTGCACAGAGCTTTTGTTTGTTTCAACTTGTTATTTAATTATTGAGTCTGAGAATGTTTATTAGGTTTAAAAGTAATTTTTCATCATCATCATTATTATTATTAATTAGGCTGTGATCTTTTTGGATGAAGACAACTTTTAACATCTTCATACATGTTGCCAAGATGAGAGATTCAGCCAACATTAAGGTAGCAGAAAGCCGAAAGAAAGTCTGAAATTTCAACTACTTAGAGCAGCATCTTTAACTCTCTGAAATGAAATGATATATGAAAATGATACTTCAGTTTGGTACCAAGGTGTCTGGCAAACAGGAGGCTTTCTGTATTTTCACATTTGCATGTGGAGGAAAAACAGCTCTCTGTAAACTTTTCATACTACCCAGAAAAACTTTCTGTTTTCCACTTTCTTTCCCTACCCAGATATCCTGGTCACCTCTAGCTCTGGTTTTTCCAGAGAGTGACAAGTGGTTACAAGTCCTTGCTGCCCTTCCCTTAGGAATCAGCAATATGTACCTGGTATGTAAACCCGAGTGATGGGCATAAATCTGTCTTCCTTACAAGAAGTATGTTGTGGGCTGGGGATGTAGCTCAGCGACAGCTCTTAAGGTATCTTTAAGAAATGAATCATCACAAAGCTGACAAGAATAAGCATGAACCCTGGCTTTTTGAGTAACAAACCCCTGTGGGCAAATGATAATGCCAAATTAAAAGCACTGAGGGGTGGGGGCACATCAAGCCTAAAATACACGCGTGCACACACGCACACACACACTCACACTTTATATGTCCTTCAAAGGGTTTTTGTTTTTTTAACAGTGGTTGGGTTTTTTGAGACAGGGTCTTGCTATGTAGTTTGGTCTGGCCTCGAACTCACTGTGTAGTCCTGGCTGGTCTCGAACTCACAGCCAGCCTCCCATGTCATTCTTCTGAGTGCTGACTCAAGATTACAGGTGTGTACCACCACGCGCAGATTAAAGAAGGAACTTCTCGGGCTGGGGATTTAGCTCAGTGGTTCTGCTGCCTGCCTCGCAAGGACCCATGTTCGATCCCCAGTACCAAAAATAAATAAATAAAAAGGAATTTATAAATGCCCAGCTTGGGAGGACTGGGTTCTTCTGCCACTAAGATATGTGATCCTACCTTTTGGTCCCCTCTCATTACTTTAAAGGCACCATTCTGGGTGCTATTGGGGAGCAGTATACAGGGACGCACCCATGTCAATTCCCTGGTTCCCCACCCTTAAATTGAAAATACCATTATTTACTTGCTAAATATTTGAGAATTCTCCAGTGAATACCATTAGATATGTGATGTGAGCTTCTACTCTTAATTAAAAACATTATCTTCTTCCCTAGGAAAATGCTTCTATAAGAAAAAAAACTATCGAGATTCATATACAGATATCTTCATATTGAGTTCTAGAACTGAAAGAGAACTTGGAGGTCTCCATCCATTCATCCACTTCAGAAATCCTAACAGAAAAAAGGAAGCCCTATTCTGAAATGAAAGCTATTTTTCTTAGCACCATATTTCATTTCTGCACAATGGACAGTTGAAACAGAGGCACAGCAGAAAGGACAAAAGAGAAATGAAGTGATAGGAAGAGAAACAGAAAGATACAGCACAAGGAGAACATCCATCAAAAAGAGACCAAGATACATTTGGTCACAGATAATGAAAGGTCCAAGAGCCCCCTCCGTCACAGGAGAGTAGGCATAATGATCCAAGTCCTGCGAGCGGCACTCACAAAAGTTGAACCAGGAGGAAAAGGACGGAACACACAGGGAAAAGTGGAACAAGGCATACAAAGAGAAAGCAACACCCTTTCATGGGACAGTATCCCCTTTAGGCTAGCACCAAGAAAAGCCGAATTGCATTTAAAGAAACATGGTGCAGCCAGGCATATTGGTGTATTCTTGTGATCCCCATTACTTAGGAGGCTGAGGCAGGAGGATCACAAATTCAGCCAGGTATGCTGGCATATGCTTGTCATCCTAATATTTGGGAGACTCGGAGGATCCCTGGGAGTTTTAAGGTCACCCTGAACTACAGAAAGAGACCTGGTCTCAAAAACTCAAATAAAGTAAAACATAAGTTTGAGGCTAGCCTGGACAACTTAGTAGACTATCACAACAGTCTCCACTACCACATTAAAAGGGGGAGGATCAGAGAGAGTATGGTGATACATGCCTATAATCTGGCATTCAGGAGGCTGAGGCAGGAGGATCACCTCAAATTTGATGGCAGCCTGGGCTACATAGTTCAAGGCCAGCCTGTACTACATAGTATGACCCTGTCTCAAAACAGCTAACCAAATTCCATACATACATACATACATACAAAGGATTCCTCCACCTACCTTACGGCATGGCTTGGAGAACTAGGTGAGACTATTTTCAAAAATACATATTAAACTACATGCTTTACATAATCTATTGTTCTTTATCTTGGGGTCCTTGAAGCACAGTTCCCTGCTGTTA